ACCTCCTCCTCCTCTTCATTCACCACCTCCTTCCTCCTCCACCACCTCCTCTTCCTCCACCACCACCTCCTCCTCCTCTTCATTCACCACCTCCTTCCTCCTCCACCACCTCCTCTTCCTCCACCACCACCTCCTCCTCCTCTTCATTCACCACCTCCTTCCTCCTCCACCACCTCCTCTTCCTCCACCACCATCTCCTCCTCCTCTTCGTCCACCACCTCCTTCCTCCTCCACCACCACCTCCTCCACCACCACCTCCTCCTCCACCACTACCACCACCTCCTCCACCACCACCTCCTCCTCCTCCTCCACCACCTCCTCTTCCTCCACCACCACCACCTCCTTCCTCCTCTTTCCCCACCACCTCCTCCTTCTCCTCCTCCTCCTACACCTCCTCTCCACAAACCTTGATAGCACTGATGAAGTTACTACTTGCATAATGAAACATCTGCAAGAAAACCACCAAGGTCAGAAATCACGAAGGACACCAGAGTTGTCGTTTCCTCCTCCTCCTCCTCCTCCTCCTCCTAGCACTGATATTACTTACTTGGGTAATGAAACATCTGAAAGAAAACTACCAACTTCTGAGAGCACCAAGGACCCCACCGTCCTTCTACTACTACAGTCCGGACACCATTGTTTCTTCTAGCACTGATGATTTTACCTAGTAAGGTAATGAAACATTTGCAAGAAAATAACCAAGCTCAGAGATCATCCAGGACACCACAGTCGTCATCATCATCATCATCCCCTTTTCCTCCTCCTCCTCCCTTTCTTGTAACACTGATGATGTTACCTAGTTGGGTCATGAAACGTCTGCAAGAAAACCGCCCAGCTCAGAGACTACCAAGGACCCCCACACTTCAGCCCCCAGCTACAAGACATTCCCCATCTCTTGGTAACAATGTCGTTTCTCCACCTCCTTGGTCTTATCCTCTGCCCTTCTTCCCAGGTACGATTCGCTGACGGGAGTGCCCTCTCACCAGCGGGCCCTGGCGTTTGAGAAAGGAAGCGTGCTTTTTAACATCGGAGCCTTGTACACCCAGATCGGCGCGCGCCAGGACCGTACCACTCTGCAGGGGGTGGACTGCGCCATTGAGGCCTTCCAAAAGGCGTCAGGTACGTTGACTTGGGGGAGTCGTCTCAGCTCTTCCAATTAGGAGTTGGGAGTACATAGTGTTGAGGTGGGATTCATGCAACATGTTATGTTCTGACTGCGATAATTGCCAGGCCGTGAGCTCCCAGCCGAAATTAAGTTCTGGCAAGCAGTCTTTGTGGCACGAAACACCATGAGCAAAATCTTCAGAAATACAAACTGTTGTCTCCTACGACCACCACTCCTCTTTCCTTCTACTTATTCCCCAGCCAGGGAGGGGCCGTTCAGCTTCCACATGTGTCTTGCTTCCCGAGTCGAGTCCTTGTCCTCCGTTGTTCTCCTCTCCTAACTGCTCTGCGCATATGTGCATCTGGAACAGGCCCCAGCTGTTCTTCCTCCCCACTCATCTCAGCGTCCAAAGGCAGTTGCCTCTCCGGTGGCTGGGAAATGTCGGACGGCCCAGGCTCTGTCTCTGCATCCGATGCAGGGCATCCATCAGAGCCTTCCCCAGACTCCAGCACTGGCCCAGGTTCCTCCCCAACCTCCTCATCCTCATCCTTCTGCCACCAGCTCCACTGGCGGCTGGCAGGCCAGAACATATTCCACACCAAAATTAGCAGGACACAGCTCGATCTTCATATATACAGGTAGTCCTCAACTTACGACCAACATTGGGAGCGGAATTTCTGTTGTTAAGCAAGGTTTTGTTAAGAGAACAGAATATAGGGTGCTACCTGCAGCACCCCGTGGCTGGAAAATAAACCAATAGCAATAGCAGTTAGATTTATATACCGCTTCATAGGGCTTTCAGCCCTCTCTAAGCGGTTTACAGAG